AATTATATTTAACAATAAAATTCATTTTCACATAATTATAAAAGCATGGAATATGATATGTTCTAATTCAGTCCCCACCACTTCCCCTGACCCTCTCCTCCTCCCTCTCCCTGTTCTCTTCCCTCTACTCTACTGAGCATCATTCATAATTACCAAGCATTGTACTCTTTCTCTGGTTACCCAAATTCCCCTAAACTCTGTTCTCATCTACAAAGTATCAGTCATGGTAATTCACACCAAGCTATATTTCCAGATTGTAGAGAAAAATTAGATTGAAAATGGAGAACATTTATATAAATTTTTATCCTTAAAGATGATGGATGAATATAGGAAAGGGTTATCATTTCTGATCCTCTGGTCATATTTCTCTCCTTGTAATCTTTCTATAAGCTAGGGGATTATTATACACATACAGTGAAAACTTCTCCCTCAAGGTGGAAACCAATTTTTTAAAAAAAACTTTAAAGTTATATTTTCTAAGATGGGCTAGGCATAATATTCCCGTTTTTCTTATCTGTTTCTAATAAATAAAGGTTTTTATTTTGTAGGTCTGCAACAATTTTCCTGCTCTCATTGATTATTTCCCAGGGAGTCATAAAACATTTCTCAAGAATTCTTCTGATGTAAAACAGCATTTTTTGAAGAAAATAAAGGAACACCAAGAATCCCTAGATATGAACAATCCTCGGGACTTAATCGACTGCTTCCTGATTAAAATGGAAGAGGTACAATGTGAACAACAGCTCAGTTATCTGATTGCTTCTACATTTTGTTCATTGATTAATTTGTGGTTGCTAGGGCTAGTTCAGTGGTCAGGCAAGACATTCTTGACAAGCACTTTAAGCACATCTCATCTTTATAGATATACATGAATTATCATAGAAAAATTAAAATTGAATAGTTAAATGGCTAGAATACATAAATACTGTTCCATAGATATTAATAATCTACCTGATGAAAGACAAAATTCACACCTCAGGTGATAAGGAAATAATTATAGACAAGCTACACAATATAAATTTGGAGTCACAAAATGCAAATTAAAATGATTATTTGTACACAGTGTATAAGAGAATGGGAAACTCTACAATGGCCAGACTGTGTAATGGCTCCTCAGTTATTCAGATCAAATGACCAAAACATATAAAGGTGGATTTTATAGGACAGGATCCATGTTGCCCATTCTAAAATCAACCAGATGCAATAGGAATGCAGACCAGTATCCTCACAGCTGCCTGCCGTGGATGCTGCTCTATGGGGAAGAGTAGCTGGTTCATGACTGAGATTTATGAGAACTTTTCTTAATCAAATATTTCCCTCTTCTGTATTATCACTTAGATTCCAGAGTTCCAAAACAGTTGCTTCAGACAGTTCATACCAGGTCAGTTGTTTCAGGGATATACATGGAAGTTATTAGTCTACCATCTTTGAGTTGTTACTTCTGTACTGTCGTCTTTTTTTAAAGGTTTTTATTAATACATTAGAATTATCCATAAGAGTAGGATATATTGTGATATATCATAGATGCACATAGCACAAATTTGTCAGTTTCTTTCCCATATACTTCCCATTTCCTCCCTCTTCTCCTTTCCCCCATTCCCTTTCTCTACTGTCTTTGTCTTTTTTCCATTGTGACAATGTCCCTTTATTTTTTTTTATTTCTCTCTAACTGCTGCATATGAGAGAAAACACATGACCCTTGACTTTATGAGTCTGGTTTATCTCACTTAGCACTATGTTCTCCAGTTCCATCTATTTCCTTGAAAATGACATTTCATTCTCTAAGATTGAGTGGAACTTTATTGTGTATACATACCACATGATCTTTATCCATCCATCTGTTGATGGATACATATGTAGGTTTCATAACTTTGGCATTGTGAACTGTACTGCTATAAATGTGTAGGCATTGCATTGCTAAAGATGTGACTTTAATTCTTTGGGATAAATATCAAGGAGTGGGATAGATTAGACATTTTGTGTTTCCATTACTACTCTCTTGGAGATATTTCATAGTGATTTTCAT